TAGTAAACTTCTTACAGATTTCTAGAAAAATCAGACTATATATGTACCGCTAACCATTACATATATGGACAGCCAATATATTTTTTTTTATACGATCAGTTCACTTATATAATAATTGTAGGTAACTTCTTTTAGTGTTCTATATTGAGCGATATCTTAGAACAAATATTAAATAATTAATCTCTTATAATATATTTAAATTTTACTAATGACATAAATAATTCATCATATTATTAATGCATATAAATTAGATTCATCGCTTAATTACTATAGTAATTTCTTTTTGCATTCTCATTTGCGTACGCAGGTTCCTTCATGAGCTACCGTTTATATACATGTACTAACCTGCAAATTTATTATTAGTGTATTTTAATATGTTCTAGCATGTTTTTTATTTTATTTTTTGGGTTACTAATCTCATATATTATGGACACCTATATATATATATATATATATATATATATATATATATATATAACATGCTAGAACTCAACTCTCTAATTCTTTTTTTATGTTATTTGTGTATAAAAGTTAAACTCTTTACGGTATTAAAAATAAGCAGAACGAAAATGATTTAGAGAGTTGAGTCTTTTAATTTTATCCCTTATAAGTCAAACCCACGCAAACAATTCTATCAACCGTGTAATAATGTACGAAATAGGTCAATTAAATTTCAAATATTGATGTTTTTAGAACTAACACGGCCGCGTTGTAGCCATTTTTCATCAAGAAAGAATACAAGGTTTAGCCAAGATTTACAAATTGTCTCTAAACTTTTCTTCTTTATCTTTCCTATGGAGGTTTGGACAAGATGAAGCTAATTATTAATAGTAGATTACCAACTTGATAAGTGGAGGATCATCGACAAGAAAAAGTCAAAATTTCATTGTTTAAGTTTTTGAATATTTTCAGAGTTGCATGTAGGTTCATGCAACCCAAAAGTCAAAGGGAATTTCAGGATTTCAATTCTATATGCAAATGTGAAATGCTATGAACAATTGGGGTTAGTATTATATATAGTTAATTAAGAATTTAAATCACATGGTGTTAAACTTGCTGTCTCTCCTTCGAGGGACTATAGCATAATTTCCCAATAGCTTCCAATACAGAGGTTTGATTTATGGGTAAAAATTAAATTATGAGCAACATGTTTGATCAACCTAGCTACTAATTGTTGAATGAGACTAAACAAGCATGATGTTTGAGCTTACGATGCGAAAACGGCTAATGAAATTAAAATTTTGTCAATTGTTATTTGTACATTTTAAATAAATTAAAACTCCAAAATTACATTACAATATCCCACAAATACGAAATCCAATTATAGTTAAATCGGTAGACATTTTAAAAAAAAGGATAAATTGTTATTTTTCTCACATGTAAAAACAAGAATACAAATATAGCGTTAATTTCTATAATGAATTATCAATGGGTATCTTTTGAATAACGTAATTACACTGCTTATGTTAGGTTAAACTCTTATCATAATCATTGCATTGTGCATACTAAAGTTTGTGTGACCACATAATTAATAATTCGAGATCCAATCATAATCATTGCATTTTGCACATTAAATTTTGTGAGACACAAGTCTAATAAGTTCGAAAATGAACCATGGAAGAAATTGGCACGACCTAGAATTCTCACCCTCGGGATCGTGATGGCGCCTCACATTTCACTTACTAGGCAAGCCAACGTTAGATGTATTTATTAACTATTTTTAACAAACTCAAATACGACGACAATAAAGAAAATGAATAGTCTGAAAGAATATAAATAAGCTAATAAGTGACGATATTCAAATACAACTCCAAATCTTGTGTCACGAATACATGAGCGTCTAAGATACTACAAATAATGGTCTGAAATAAACATAACTGTCTGAATCAAATGAACAGCTAAAGAAGTAGAAGGGAACTTCAGAGCTGCGAACGTCATGCAACTATACCTCAAGTCTCCTCTGGGTAGCTGGATCCGAGCAAGTATACGGTACGCCATTGGGACCAACTCCGATATCTACACAAGAAGTGCAAAGTGTAGTATGAGTACAACCGACCTATGTACTCTGTAAGTACCGCCTAACCTCAACGAAGTAGTGACGATGTTAAGGCGGGTCACTTACATTAACCTGTATGGAATAATAATATTAATAACAACAAAAAGACAGGAATAGAAGTAAAGCAAGTAACTCATATCAACGAAACTCAAATCAACCAGCAGAGAGTCCCGAATAACCAGTCATATAACTCATCTCAACAACCGAGGCCAATTCAACAATCACAACAAATATAACTTTCAGCAACATGTGTGCGGCGTGCAACCCGATCCTACAATATAAACTTTAAACAAATCCGTTGTGGCGCGCAATCCGACCCCTCCATATATTATCTGTCAATATCATAGTCCATCATTATTCCGCCCTTTTCAATTCACTTGTTTCAATTTCTATTGCGGCGTGCAACCCGCTCCCCAAACAATGTCAATTAACAATAGTCAATTTCTATTGCGGCGTGCAACCCGCTCCCCAAATAATGTCAATTAACAATAGTAACTCAATAACTAAGATTTACAAGAAATCATACATCAAGAGAACAAATGTACGAGCAATAGAGAATAACATGATAATCAAGAGGCTCGAACTAATCGGATGTCTCAATTTTACCAACTCAACGGTATCTACTTTTAACAATATGTATAAGTGAAACTACTTCAATGAAGGCACACAATTAATACAAAACTACAAGGCAACAAGGCATAAAACAATTTAGATATATGAGGGAAACAAATCGAGACAAGTAGTAAATTAGTATGGAATCAGGGAGGGGATGGACATTTAAATACAGAAAATGCTAAATGACAAGTAGCAATTATGGCATGGAAGTCAAATAAACATGTAGCAGTTAAGGCATGAAGACAAGACATAATATTAAGCAATGACGATAGAGAAAACATGTAATATAAGGGTTAAGTCATGGAACAAAGTAATTAATGAAACACAAAAAAATATGGAAACAAGTAATTTAACAGCGTATATACACTTGTCACCTTGCATATATGCCGCTACACATGTAATTCACATAGCACATAGCTCAAGAGTTCCTAATTCCCTCAAATCAAGGTTAGATTCAGCACTTACCTCACTCCGCAATCAACTCAAAGTTCAACCACGGCCTTGTCTTTCGAACAAGCCTCCAAACCAACCAAATCTAGCAAATTATTAACCAAGTGATTCAAAACAAGCCTTAGAAACTACCCACGAATGAAAGATGTTCAATTTAGATCATTATTGAAAAAGTCAACTCCGGGCTCGCTTGGTCAAAATTGAAATTTCGACCAAAACCCGAACACCCATTCACCCCCGAGCCCGGTTATGTAATTAGTTTTGAAATCCAACCTCAATTCGAGATTTAAATACCAAATTTACAAAAAATTTCTAATTCTAATAAAATTCCTAATTTCTACCATGAAAATCCTAGATTTGATGTTGAAAACTTATGAAATGTAATGGGTAATTGAAGGAAAGTAGATTAAAGTCACTTACCAATGAATTTAGGGAGAAAATCTCATGAAAAATTTGCTTCTAGGATGTTTAGGGTTGAGAGTTTGAAAGAAATGTGCTAAATCCCATTTCCCCCCTCTTTTACCAAGCTGCACTTATCGCAATTGCGATACAAAGTTCGCAATTGTGATGATCGCAAAAGCGATCAACCCCTCGCTAATGCGAAGAAGTCACTGAGCATGTTGTCGTCGCAAATACGACAATTTTATCGCAAATGCGAATCAAGGCAGGCCGCAAATACGAACAATACTTCACAAATGCGAAGAAGCACCAAGTAGACAGTGATTAAATTGCGACCAAATCCTTCGCAATTGCAAAGATGTAGAGTCTGCAAATGCGAACTCTTCCCAACCCAACCCATGCTCGCAAATGTAACACATTGTTCACAAAAGCGAGGCTCGCATATGTGAGCCAGACCTCGCAAATACGATATCTGCTGTCCAGTACCAGAAATAGATTGCACCAGCTATTTTCCTAAGTCCAAAACCACTCTATATCCTATCCGAAATTCACCCGAGCCCTCGCGGCTCCAAAAAAATATGCACACAAGTCCAAAAATATCATACGAACGCGCGATCAATACACCAAAATAATACCCAAAACTACGAATCAGACACCAAAACGAATGAAATTTTAAATAAAACTCAAACGAACGTTTTAATCACGTCAAATCAAATCCGTTTTGCACCAAATTGTGCAAACAAGTCATAAATACTGAAACGAACATGTACCAAGTTTCGAAACCGAAATTCGAACCCGGTAGCAACAAAGTCAAACTACAGTTAAACTTATGAATTCTTTAAACCATTAGATTTCTAGTTTTCAACAAATTGCGTTAATTTAAGTTAGGGATTTCCGAATACGATTTCGGGCATACACCCGAGTCCCAAATCACGATACAGACCCACTGGGACCGTCAATATTTGTATTTGCAGCCCACTAATTTAAATTCACACAGAAAAATCTTACTTTAGGAATACAAATATACACTAACAAAAATAATTTCATACTTGAGGCTCGATTCAAAAACTTATAGTTAAAGATAAAAAAATAATAACAATTCCATCACAATCTTTAATGGTGCTGAAAAATATTCCAACCGCTTGATTAGCGGCTTGATTCACTTTTGTCGAAGAGACGTAGCAATTGGCCCATGGCCCTACAGCTTCGGTCTTTGGGAGTAGTAGAAAATACTTAGAAATTTTCTGTACATGTGTCAGTGAAACGTACGAAGTAGCAAAGAAGTTGGAGCCCCAGAAACTACACGGAACCCCTATTTATGTTCTCTCCTCCTGTCCTCCAGCTCATTTCTTTTCCAACCTTTCCCTTTTTAATTCGACTTAAATTATATACTTAGTAAAGTAGTATACAATGTAATAAGTATATAATATTATTTACACTATCAATATATTTTACTTTATTATAATAAATAGTTTTAATATTTATTGGAAAGTTTTGCCTACAATCAAAGAGCTTGTTTGTACAAGTACAATCAATACATAAAATTTAAACTCTTTTTTATTTGGTACTCACTTCCCACAATTTTGTTTGTCTTTTTTGGTTATCTTCTGGAGTACTTGCCCATTTTTATTTCTTTAACATTTCCTAAAAGGCATCCCTTCAGTCAACATTTGCTATTTTAAGTTCAGAAAACCCATAAAGACTGGACCTTTCTGTTCTCAGTGAAAGAGTAGCTGTTTATGTGTATGTTCTCATTAGTTTCAGGAATCATTTTATTACCTCATTATTATTAAGTGGGTCTTAGCTCTAGACATCAAATCAAATCTATTATAGTGTTGCATTTGGCACATCTGTTAGGTTACTGGCACAAATCAACAACACCCTTTTTCTTGCTGGACTTCATAATTTTTGCAAATTGAACACATCTTTTTTGAAAGTTTCAGTCTCTATTGGAAAAAGTTCAGAGTTTCTCCTCTACTTAGTAGGTAATGTGAAAAGGTTTAAGTAGAGGACAATGCAAGAAAGTTTTGATTTTTATGTCAGGAGTACTTCCCAATCATGTGGATTGCAAGAAAGTTGTAATTTTTATGTAATTGGTGGTAGAGTTTGATTCAATTGTGGGATAGATCAATTTGAAATTTTTTTTCACTGGGAATGGAAGAAGGTAACAAAGAACTTCGGTCATTGGCCTTGACACCAACATGGTCTGTTGCTTCTGTATTGACTATATTTGTTGCTGTTTCACTCCTTGTCGAGCGATCCATTCACCGCTTATCTAATGTAAGCACAATTGCTCCTTTGATTTCTACCCTTCTTCACTTTAGTAGTTTTGTTAGTTTTATTGGAACATTGCTCTAGGACTAATTTTTTGTTTGATTTTTGGGTTAGTGCTATTCTCAGGCTTATTGAAGAGGTTGGGGGGATGTTATAAGAATAAGAGGTTCTCTCTGTGACCAGTAGGAAGGGTCTAAGTATTCATCAGTAGTTCTTGGTCATATACAAATTTGCTTTTGATTGCTGAAACTGCTTAAACATTGAGGAACTTATCCTAGATTTTCTGGTCTTGGATAGTTGCTCATATTTAACAAGCCCCATTTTAAATTCCAGGTGGAAAGAGAAATATAGGGAACAAATGCGCAACTTCTTTCTTTTCAAGATCATAATATTTGTTGAAACAATTTTGTTGTATTTGGTTGATTATGTTTCTTGTAGCACGGATGATTATGTCTTTAAAAACTAACTACTTAACTTTTATTACTTTCTCATGTCAGTGGTTGCAGAAAACCAATAGAAAGCCATTGTTTGCAGCTGTCGAGAAAATGAAAGAAGGTACTCTGTGTTGAAAAAATTTGGAAAAGTCTCTTTGAAATTTGGAGTCCTCTCATTCCATCCCCCAAAGCATTGTTTTTCGTGTCATAACCGTTTTCAATGTTTGGCATACAGAGTTGATGCTTCTTGGATTCATTTCTCTCCTACTCACGGCAACTTCCAGCATCATATCTAGTACTTGCATACCGTCAAAGTTTTACAATAATGTATTTGCTCCATGTACAAAGTCTGAAGTTGATGAAGAAATGGAGAATAAAGATTTGAAGGAGCGTAAACTTTTGATGGCTTTTACTCTTCAGAGGAGAGTATTAAATACCTTCAATCAAAACACCTGCGGAGAGGTAAATTTGATTTTCCATGTGGCATATTAGACCATTATTTCAATATCTTGTTCGATTCTATTTCTGTTTCCATAATATGGATCTGCAACTGGCATCCTCAGAAATATGTACCTACAACTGATTATCTTACAAAAAGGAAATAACTCTTAAGTTTTCTAAAATTGTTTCTGAAGTAGTAGTGTCAATAATCTGAGTCTAACATCTTGTCAGAATCATGAACCATTTGTATCATATGAAGGCCTAGAGCAGCTGCACCGCTTCATCTTCGTCATGGCCATTACTCATATATCTTACAGCTGCTTGACAATGCTGCTGGCGATTGTTAAGGTAGTATTATCTATTTTACTTGAACCTTGCTAAACAAATGCACATTGTGTTGATGAAATCTTTAAAGTCCAGTTTTTTTTTTTTTTGTATATGTTAATCTAATTGTCCATGCTTTTCCGAGTGGCTAGTTTGATTGGACGTAAAAGTAATTTGTGATGTATTGATCTGGCTTGCAAAGTCTACAGTCATATAAAAAAAAACTACAATCATATATGATGGTAATACAATACATCCTCACTTATTTCCCCTTCACTTAGTACCTTGTGGACCGAAGATTTCTGCTTGAGTTCCTGATATTCTTAGGGATTGCTTGGTTAAACGGTTAGGAAAGATATACTCTGCATAAAATAATAAAATATTTTGTTAGAGGGATTAGGAAAAATAATCCCTGCATAACTAATGTAGCGCTTGGTTGGTCGTATAAGAAAAAGTAATCCCTGCATTACTAATACAGCTTTTGATTTGCTGTATTAAAGCATAATACTCACATTAAGTTATGTTGGAATATATGTAATAAAATGCAGGAGAGAATTTGAAATAAGAATGTGCATTATCAATACTGAGATATAATGTACTTATTCTATGTCTTAAGTCTGGGTCCTTTTGCTAATATTGGTTATGAGGAAATATGTCCATTCAAAAGTTGCACTGGTCTACAAATATGTAACAATATCTGTTTGAACATTGTCCTCATACAAGATTTGCTGCTCTTATTTCGACATTTAAGCATATCATCTCTAGCAGTTTCATTCACTCTGCAGCCAAGCTCGTCTTTGATTTTACATTAGGTGAACATCCGATTGTCTATATTGAAATTGGTGAATGTCATGCCATATTGGCTATAATCCAGAGTTTCATTTCTTTATCACTTCCTAATTGTGTTAGCTACTAGCCACTTCCTTGCAGAAGTAGCCATTTATCTGTGAAATACCTCTTTTTGATCTTTATCCTCATTATTATCACTGCTCTCTTCTTGTTTTCTTCTGTGTTTCCTCTTCACATGTTCTTCATTGCTAGCTGACTGATAACTGAAAATTTGGCCAGATCCACAGTTGGAGGAAATGGGAAGATCAAGCTCAAATGGACAGACATGATGTGCTAACCGGTAAGCTATACTTGCATATGATTTGTCAAAATGTAATCTTGTTCTCTAGCTTCTACCATTTGTGGTTTCCTTGTAATCATCGTGGATAAAAGCTGCTTATTTTTTGGGGTAAGGAAAATCTGCTGATTTTAAATTCTTATTTTAACAAGAGATGCAATTTTAAATGTGTTCAGAACTAGAAAGCAAAAGCCTTTGTATAGTTTATCTAAAAGGAATTATAAGGCCTTTGTACTAGAAAGAAAGTCAGCTGTGTCAAGAACCATGCATGTGTTATGATGGAGATGGAGCAAGGCAAATTAGCAGTTTAATGTATGACCCTTTGTACTGTAAGTATAATTTGGATTCTGATAACTGGAATAGTTCTGGCTAATTCAGGGCTAGACGTTGCTCTACATGATACTTATTATGTGGTTGTACATTTCCATTATGTACTTTCTATGGGAGCCGTTTTTGCTTTATTTGCATGATTTCACTATTGGGTAGGTAAAATCTTTGGTCGGACATACCCTGAAACTTTAGGTCAAATCCATTTTTGGATCACTTTTTTCGGGGAATCTTCAGAGACTCTACTCACTCTTGAGAATGTACATGCATAAGCTGATGTCTAAAGTGAGTATTTGGAAACAACCCGAAAGTTAAAGAAAGCTGATGGCTTTCCCTCGACTTGGTGAAGTTCTCCTTATTCTAATTTAAGATCAACTAAAGAAGAGTATCAAGGGTTCATCTTTCATGTAACTGTAGAAAGGTGAACTGGTTCTCTCACTGTCTTTTTTATAAACCCTTGTATTCAGTAGGACTAGATCCAAGTTTAAAGATACATCTTCATATCGTCATAAGAATTGAAGCAAGCTGGAGAAAGGCCATTACAGATTTGATTAGACCAAAGCAGAGAACCAGTGTTATTAAAGTTGGAAAATCATACTGAGTTTTGGGTTAATCTACCTACTGCTAGTGTCCAAGATCAGTGCCTTCCAGTTAATAGTAGATGTGGTAACATGCTCTATTCTTGAGAGTTCTTCACAGGACAAGGTATGTGTCTAAATTGGACACTGCTTGGACTTGCAGATCAAGTAAGATCGGATAGAGCCATAGAGAATTGATTATTATCTCATATTTTTCTCCTTCACTTTGCTTCTGTGCTTCTGTTTATCTGTATTTATACTTCAGTACCTGCTTGGTATTCATTGAAGAGATCAGCGATTTATTCTTCTAGAAATATGTCTTAAAACCTCAATTTGTGCCCCTTTGAATGGCTTAATGGGGAGAAATCCATCATGCTCTCTATCTTTGATAAAACTGAAAAAAGCTAGTAAAATAAACTGAATTTTTTTCCACTGCAGAAATTTCTAGAGCCAAGACATTCCGAAGGCAGTCGACTTTTGTCAGAGTTCACACATCAAGTCCTCTTGCCAGGAATCATTTCCTTGTTTGGGTGGTTAGTTCTCTTCTTACATATTTCATACTAGCCCTCACATAATTTCATTCTCCAAAATAAATAAATAAAAGCATTTCCTCTTTAATAGTTAAGCTTTTGGATGAGGTGGTTCACACAATTATGTGGTATACTACTCTGGATTTGAATCTAACCAGTAACCACCACTTATTTTCAAAGTATCCCACGTGCTTGGCTCAAGAAAAAGGGGAAAAAGTTGCAGACTTTAAAATGTAAATAAAGAAAAAGGGGCCACGTTGCCGACCTAAAGTAAATAAGTAGGTGTATTCCTCTCCAACAACTTAAGTTTTCTAGACGAGGCATTTCACACAATTCAACAAATTTGATTAACGATGGATTTAATTATTCAATATCTATATCATTTCTCTCGTGAAACAAAATAACAACGGATTTTAGTTAATTGATTTTTTTTTTAAAATAGGTACAAATACAAGCCTTAAACTTTTCAAAACTATAGTATTTCGTTTTGAGGATTTTGTTATTATCTTTTTTACTACAATTTTTTTACATTTTATTTTTGGATATTAGGTTTTCTAGTTAAGGTATTAAATTGAAAGTTAAGTCCGAAAGAGGGCATGTACAAATCTAACCAAAGGAGCTCGTTAAGTGCGAAAGAGGAGTTTGAGTGCTTAGATTACTGTAAAAACATATAAGGGCTTGCATGATACTATGGACTTGAGGGCTTGTATTATCATTTTCCCTTTAAATTGTGATTTCCAATCTTCTAATTGTCTATTTATTAGCATTTTCTTGATTAAAGGTTTTTTGGCTGTGAGTTTGTATTATCATTTTCCCTTTAAATTGTGATTTTCAATCTTCAAATTGTCTATTTATTAGCATTTTCATGAATAAAGTTTTTTTGGCTGTGATTTCCCTCTCTATGGGTACTTCTCTTGACAAGCACTACTATGTTTACTTAAATAAATTTTCTTTTAAAACACATTTGTGTATCTAACTGATAAATGCTTTTTGAGACATTTCATTCTTCATTTTACTTTCTGCTCTCAATCAATAATATTTCAGTTGCAATCAATGGTTAACAAGAGGCGCAATGATGACAATACCAATCTAGCAACACAATATACATCCAATAATGTCCACCAATATTTGTTGCAATGTATCTAAAGTTACTTGTATTGACTTACTCTCTTTCTTTTTCTTTTTCTTTTTAAGATTGACATATAACCCTTGTATATTTCTATCAAATTTTGCAGACCTGTTTCTTTCGGCAGTTTGGCCGCTCAGTTGTTCGTGCCGATTACCTTACTCTACGCAAGGGTTTTATCACGGTATGGATCCAAGACAACTTGTAAAACCATGTAGTGAAAAAAGTTAGTGAGACATGATGTTGAATGCGTGCATTTGTCTGCATGCAAGAGGGAAGAGGAGAGAGAACTTGAAACATTTTCAAGCAAGAACCACTTCCCTTTAATAACCAGGAAAAAAAGAACTAATCACTTGCAAAAGATGAAGTAAAATATTCTAATGCTTTTGAAGGCAGTCTTGCAAAGTAACTTAAAATTCAAAAAGTAGTTAGGATGTGGAATTTCTTAGTCTAGGTTTGAGGAAATTACCAGGTCAAAAAAGGACTCAGTCTGATGATTAGAAGAAGCAGTCATAGCACAGTGTAATGAGCAGGAAATTTCAAATAGATGATAAACAACAACAACAACAACAATATGAATCCTCATTTCTTTCGTTAGGCTCAACTTTTATCGTCATCATGCCAAAATAAATTATGAGTAGTAGTGAACACGCACACACACACACACACACACACACACATATATATNTGTGCTCGTTTATCCAAAAGATTAGAATGCTATATAACAAGTCCGGTTCATTACGGGCTCTATTTTAGGGATCTTTTCTGAGTTATCTTCATGTTTGTATCACTGATTTTCTTTTCCATCACAAGAGTGTCTCTTGATAAGATAGAGATTTCTGTTATAGATTACTAGTTACGACCTTTCTCCTCTTATTCATGGCAGAATCACAACCTTACATCAAACTATGATTTTCACAGCTATATGATTCGCTCAATGGAAGAAGAATTTCAAAGAATAGTTGGTGTAAGGTAAGCATATAAAGTACTCCTTTCACATTTTTCATACCTCTTCTTGACTAGGCAGAGAGTTAAAAAGTTGTTTAAAGAGAAGTGGTCCCAAATGTGGAGAGAAGTTGATTTTGATTAGTTCTAAGATTTGATGAAAAAGTGGATCTCATATAATACAACAATCTTTCTTTCTTTCCATCATTAGTTTCTTGATTTAAACTTTCTGTCATAACTTTTTTGATGTATATTTGTAGTGGCCCTCTCTGGGGATTTGTGGTGGGTTTTATGCTGTTCAACGTGAAAGGTACTGCGTCCTCCATTCCTTGGTTTTTGGTCATTAGATAAGCTTGCATTTTCTGCTTCCCAACAATTGTTGTAAATGAATGACCAATTGAACTTCAACATGCAGGATCAAATCTGTATTTCTGGATAGCGTTAATTCCTATCATTGTAAGTGCTTCCACTGAAATTCTATTGTGCGATTCTTAATATATGCATGAATATGTTTGTGTATATAAAAGTAAAACAATGCCTATTTCCTTTTTCTCTTATTCCTTCTGGAGTAGTCGCCTTTCTTAATTTAGGACTTATAGTGGGTTACAAGCATATCGGTTGCACGGTTTCTTTTTCAGGAGATACACTTGGATTAAGCCCTTCAGCCACGTAATGTTTTATTTCCCCCAATGAGAGATATTGAAAGATTAACTGGGATAGAAGAGGACTATAGTTGAGTTAACATACATATATGTGATAGAACATATGCTTGCTTTAGCTAGAGGGTGAAAATAATTTGCAGTACTGTAGCCCAAACATTAAAATCTCCTCCTTGGGATAGTAAGATATTTATCTCTTCCCTTACATTCTGAATTATTTGTATATTAACTTATGGACGTGATAATATGATAGAGATAGTCGTTTACTTGTGCGTCTGTGCAGCTTGTCCTACTCGTGGGTACAAAACTGCAGCATGTAATCGCAACCTTGGCATTGGAGAGTGCCGGATTTACTGGCTCATTCTCAAGGGCAAAGTTAAAACCACGAGATGAACTTTTCTGGTTCAAGAAACCAGAATTACTTTTGTCCTTGATTCATTTTGTCCTTTTTCAGGTTTGTTTTATTTTCATACTTCAATTGTTAATTGTTTTGACTATCTACTAACATAGTTTAATGACTATATATTCTAACTTGTTTTTGCATGCTTATTTTTGCAGAATGCATTTGAGCTAGCTTCATTTTTTTGGTTCTGGGTATTCACTGTTCCCTTTCTTGTAGCTTAATTTTTCTATAACTTAGAACTTTCATTTAATACCTGGTCAAAGCATTTTCCTTTTAACTGTATTAACATTCTTGATCTTTAGCATTTGACATTGTCAAATTTTCTGCAAATACTAATACTTGTTTCTTTTTAACTCAAATCCTTTCTTAGAGTTGAATGAAACGACGTTTTCTCCCTGAAATAATTTCTTAACATTGAGGGCTTTTTTCCCTTCACCTGTGGATCTCGCTAATACAATCTCCTATAGTTTTACTAATAGAAGCGTGCGCACAGTACTGGAACACTGGGGTGAACACCCGTTCTTTTTCCATTTTTGTTGTCATTTGCTCAACAAAAAAACGCAATTTTTTTTATTTTTGTAAGTCAAAAATATTCTTTTTCTTCTGTGTATATAACCCTTGGATTATCAAAATCTTGTCTGAGTGTTCTTCTGAAAAACTGTAAATATCCTTGCTTCAAGTTAGTAATGCAGTATTTCCAAATTTCATTTGACTCTTGTCACCAGGAACCAATAGACACCTTGTGTTTTCTGTCATTGATAATTTCTCTCTCAGTGCACCCTCAGTGTTTTGGGATCCTATAAGCTGATTTTTCACAAAATATTCTGTATCCTGTGAGCTTGAATAATATGTTCTACCACATGCATATGTTGTTTCTATGTGTAGTAGACACTAATATTCTGAATGTCTGAGTTTCGACAATGTTACATTTTTATTCCAGTGGCAATTTGGGTATAACTCATGCTTCATAAAGAATCACACACTTGTGTATCTACGACTAATTATGGGGTATGTGTAATTACAAACTGTATTTTCATCTCTTATTTAAGGTTTTACATTGTTACCAATGTATATCTGTTTAGCGCAATTGTTTGAGCCTGTGCTGTTGTCACCCAGGTTTGCTGGACAATTCCTTTGCAGTTATAGCACCTTGCCACTCTATGCTCTGGTTACACAGGTATATGTCATGACGGATATAACCTAAATTAAGAAGTCAGAATTAAGTATGATATTCTCTTTAACTTTCCATTTTGCATAATATTACCTCTCTGACCTTCTACAATATTCTCATAACCTTCTTAAGGTTTATGGACTACATGGTTAAATCCCTTCCAGAATAATTAAACTTGGTTAGAAGACAAAACTGCTCTGGAGTGGACTTGTTCTTCCCTCGTCTTTCTTCCTCTCTTCCTTTTTTTTAAAATTTTAATTTTCGATTCTAGTTCTTTTTTCTTCTTCCACATGACAAACGAACACTATAGATTGGGAGACAGCAGAGACTGGAGTAGGTGAGGAAAAAAGGGGGGTGATGGCACAGGGGAAAGGGAAGGGGCTTTACTTTTTTCTATTCTCTTTAGGTATATGTTAAATCATGAAAGGTTATTTTCTGTCTAAAATGTGGTACTTCAAAGTGGCGATGGATGTTATGAGATCAAGGTAATCGTCCTCATAAAATCTTCTTGATCATCCTAAAAGGTGGTAGAAGTGAACAATTGTAAACATTAAGCTTTATAAACTACTGCACAACCTGGTTCACTTTCCTAATTACATCCATGATTTAAGTCTGATCCTTAGCTCATTTTGCTTCCAAAAGAACTTGAAGATAAACCAACATAATGATTGTGACGGCCAACAGTCTGAGTTATTAAGCTGCGCCTGAAGTTCATTTTTTCCTGTATCTTTATATGGGTAATTCATGGCTGAAGAAAGGAACAAGTCCATTATTTGTGGTCTTGTTTAGGAAGTTGAATGGCACTGAAGTCAAAAGTAAAAAAATATTCATAACACAAGGATGATGAGTTTAATTCTTGTGTTTCTAGTTACTTGTATTCTGAACAAGTCTCTAGGTCATGTATACATCAGACATTCCAAATTGTAGATGTACTGCTCTTATGCTGTGACCTGTGAAGTAAATTCTTTATAAACAATTCTTCTTTTCTTTATAAAAAAGTAAATTCTTTTCTATCTTCACTAAATATTGTGATGTCTACATGTAGTTCATCATGTTAGTCTTCTACCAATGGAGGGTGCTTGAAAAGTAAATTCTGTTTTATAATACTTGTCTGCATTGCTAATTTCTGGCCATTTAGCATATGATCTAATGCAATTCACCTTGCTAATAACTCTGCACGTTGCACATCCTCATTGAACTTCCGAATAATTTTCATGGACTAATAAATGAGCTTGTAGTTGTTCATATTTTCACTAGCCAAGAGCAAAGCTTTGAGCATGCTATACTGTCTCCTTTGCAGATGGGTACAAACTATAAGGCTGCATTGATTCCACAGCGAATAAGAGAAACGATCCATGGATGGGGAAAGGCAGCAAGAAGGAAAAGGAGGATGCGCATGTACCCAGATGATTCAACTGTGCGCACTGATACAAGCACAGTGATTTCACTCGAGGAATACGATAACCAGTTGGTTGATAGCCCTCGAACAGTCCATGGTGCAGATACTGAAATTGAGCTACAGCCGCCATCAATTGTCACGGATGATCATCATTCAGTAACAATTAACGAAACTTCAAGTCGTGTTGGTACTCCTCTCCTTCGGCCCTGTGCCTCTATTTCTTCCGCAGCTTCCCCAAGATTTCCACATGAAGTATTAGCAAGATCATCTTCAATGCCTGCTAGAGGAGATTTGGGTAAAGATTAACCGCCACAGCAAAGTTGAACATGACATGGAGTTGGTGTTAATACTTTTGCAGGCTGTTTAACTTGGCATATAACAATATACTTGGAAAATGCTTACATGTGAATGTGTATCAAAGAAAATCTGCAGATAGTAAAGAATAGTTTTTATAGTTACAAAAATATTTTCTCTCAAACGCTTTATATAACCGCTGTTTCTCTATCTAGTTTCCCTTGTACAATCAGTTAGACGTATGAGATGGCTAGGTAAGATGGAGCACCTTAAAGCTTGCATTGCTTATTTTTTCCCTTAAATAGTTAACGGTTCAACTTATATACCATTAGTTTAAAGAATTTTTACATTATCCGTGTATTTTAACTTGTTGCAGTAGGTAATTTACCTTATTTTTATGGTTACGAATTTCATTTTTTTTGGATGATTACATACTACTTTGACGATCTGACATAGTAAAACTCTTTTTATACTGTCTCTATATAAAATAGAAGTTAAACAAGTCACAAACTCGAGATACTATGGTTCAATTGGACTTGCAAGCTTGTATTTCACAATCGATGTATTTGTCAATCCTGTATGATTTCCAATAGTCATAACATTCATAGAGACTACAAAGTAGAAGAACCAGTACATACTGTATTATTAAGGATGCTTAGAGACAAGCATCTTTATTAACGAAGGTGCCATTATTAGTAAAGGCTAAAGCCTTGGCCTATGTAGGTGTCAGCTTAACTGGTCCAAATTAGTCATGTTTCTCAAAATTGGGTGACACTTGTTCCTCCCTGTTTCCATTTTCTTGATCACCACCATCTTGCTTTTCCTTGTCAGTCTGCTTTGCATTCCCAACAATACAGCCAAAACCTGGTGGCTGACATCCATAAGGGCAAGGATATTGGATTGGTGGAGTTGGGCAATTGCATACTCCACCAGGAACACCAATTCCAGGGGTGTGAATCCACCCCGGAGTTCCTGGTTGGTTACAATTTCCACTTCCACAAGAGCCACCGTAGCCGCCGCCTCCTCCACCACCTCCGCCTCCTCCACAAGGAACACCAATTCCAGGGGGAATATACCCTGGAATTCCTGGTTGGTTACAATTTCCACTTCCACAAGAGCTACCATAGCTGCCGCCACCTCCACCACCACCTCCTCCACCTCCGCCTCCGCCTCCTCCTCCACCACCGCCTCCTCCGTTGTTATTGCCATCGCTTCCCCAACCCCAACCAAAGCCTCCACCACCGCTAGACGGTTTTGTCACTCCATTGGGGTTTTGGGTGTTTTCTGGTTTCTCGGCTTTTGTGGGTTCCAGGAGGACTCTATGAGCAGAGCCAAGGCTTAAACTAATGAAGAGCCATAAAATTAAGGGAATACATCTTTGAGAAGCCATTGTGGCGATAAATAAAGTAGTGAATTGGAAATGCTTCTTTTGCATGAAATCCCACTGGACTCATCTGTACTTATAGCTTGCTAAATGCATGCGAAAATTCATCTTGAAAGAAACACCCTTGACATTGCTCTAGCATTACGGGAGTCATCAACCTTGCATGGATACAATATAGTGTAAGCTATATGTCACCATTATTGCCGCTAGTCGTCAACCTTGCATATATATTTGTTCTTTTTTAGATCTTTTTTCTTTCATGATCAACAAGCACAAGACATACAATTTGACAAACGAGATTCCTCAGCCTCTAACTCAGATCACCGTCAGAAAGGAATTTTAAAAAAAAAGGATCAAGAAACCAAGCTAGTCCAGACTGCACAGTTTATTATATTTTTTTTTTAAATCAAGAAGCTAGTAGAAAATGTCAAGGAACTTATTAAAGAAATAGAATATTCTTTTCCACCCTGATACGTTGGTATCTTCCAGTAATATACCTGAAAACAGACACCTAACTGCAAAACAAAGTTCAATATAAGTACGGTTTCTCCTTTATGCTGCGCAAACCAGAATTCATTGTATTACCGATGTTCCCCTCTTTGCTGCTCTGATGGTAGCAGCCACCAATTTAATTTAGGACGAGCAGTTTCTTTTCTTTTGCATTCCTAGTTCCAAACTTATGCTGCGCAAATGCTTAAAGTACCAGAGTCCCACATTTCCCAACTAGAATTCTTGTCCACCAATGGGTTTTTCTTTTTGAGGATCGTGAGTATTTATTACAACAGAAATAGTTTCTAAAGCATGATCCAGACTGGCAAAAGATAAGAAAAGCCCCATGAACAAAAAGGAAGTAAGAAACCTAATGACAAGGTACTAGCATTATCACAAGTCCATATTCAACTTCTGTCGCTGGCATCTATACTTGATCCTGCATCCGCCAGTGCTTCAGCCATCATCTTTTCTCTATTCTGCATTTGTCTTTCCACAGCAACCATATAGAAGCCTAAACAAGTAAGATATCAATAAAGAACAGCATCAAATATTCAAACAGAAGAGCTAAGAATAATTTAAGAACTCAGAAATGATAAGTTGCAGTAAACGTAAATATATATCAAAATCTTAGTGTATCATTATTATTCATAATTTTTCATTAGTCAACGACAATCGGTGTGTATACTGAGACTAGACTATTAGAGGGATGGAAAAAGGAGGTAGATTATCTCAGCGTCCATACCCCATAATGTCCCATAGCACCCCTCAAGACCTATACAAAATTAAAAGAATCTGAAAATTGGCATGTAAATAAAATCTAGAGAATAAAATTAAAGATACAATCCACCGCTATCATGAAAAAAATGAAAGATATGATTGAACTTTAATGGTTTTAGTGAATAAAAGCTGATCCATTCGGCCAGCGGGGTTTTGGTTCAGATTTTATCATTACTTTTTAGTTAACCAATTCTAATTAGCACAAAGAAAGTCGAAAATTAGTTATTCCAAATGTTTGAAAATTTTAAAACAAATTATAACATAGAGCATTGAAGAACAATATTTCAGTTATCTAGGAAGAACTTCTCTATGTCTTGACTGGTAGAACATTCTTTTACCCGATAGGATGTTTCTATAAGCTCTTTTCCCAATAGAGTAAACACCTTCCATATTTTAACAGATACCATCAGTTGACGAACATCACATGCAACAGTTTTAGGATGAATAAATAAGCACTTAGCAGTCAAGTAGGTACTTTCTAGCTTAATAAAGAGCTTTCGTTGTGGATCATCAATTAATATGTGGAGATTTCTGACGTATGACATTATTAAGTTTTGACGACGACAACAACAAACCAGTATAGTCCCACAAGTGGGGTCTGGGGAGGGTAGATAGTATGCAGACCTTACCCCTTCAGTGAATGTAGAGAGGCTGTTGCCAGGTAATTTGTTAATTATTTGAATTTCTGCCAGTCTATTACAGGCTTAAAATACAAATCCCTTGACTAAAAAAATCTCAAGAAACACTCAAAGAAGATTGATAGCCATACCAATTGCACTCCCAATTGCACAGACCCATAAAAGCCTCCCTGACCATTTGTCACCAACTATTCCTCTATTCCCAAAGCCCATCAGCTAAAACTGGAGCAAGGAAAACACGTATTAGAATGTGAATTTCTCGTCATGAACTACAGGGGAGGAAGGAAAACAAATTCAAACAGTAAGAAAATAGAAAAACCATGTATAACAGGGAAAAGACTTAGAACTATGAAAGAGATATTTCTCGTAGTACACCAGGTATATAGAACAATAAGAAAGCAATTAAAGTTGATTCCATGATTCCAGCTATGCTTAGCGTTAAGGCTGGTATCAACTAAATGACCCACTAAGAAGTTTCTGGAGAATATATAAACAATTGTTCATGAATATGCTTCTTATGATAGCATCTGAATGTTTTGTCCTGTATCAAATTTTATAATTTTATGACTAAAAATACCTCAAGCGTTAGAGAACCCCTAATGTATCTTTAAAGACAAATTATTATTGGGATGAAACAGGGCCCAAATAAAGCTGAAGAGATATTGAGGATTCATATGGCCGACCCCAACAAGTTTGGAATTGTGACATTGTAGTATTAGTTGTTGCTGCTGTTAATCAAATCATTAGAATTCTAGCTGTCATCATGCTTTCAAAAATTACACCAGGAATCCTTTCTATTTTAGTTTTTTCTTTCACGGGGACAGAGACATTTGACCAATACAACGGCCGCACAGCAAAGCTAAAAATAATAATTAATTACCATCTTTTTCAATCAGTAAAGGAGAAAACTAAAAATTTAATTATCATTTTACCCAATGATCAAAGTTCATAACTTTTGCTTTATAGTAAGGTCCAGTTTAGCAATCAGATCAATGAGTAAAACCAAGATATGCAGCCTTAGAAGTCCCAGAAGATCATGTAAATACTAGCACAATTTTGAAGGAAACGAGACACTGTAGGGACTATAGATCAGAATCATTCTGGAAACTGCCACCACTCCCCAACACCAAAAAAGTGTCTAAATTGGACGAATGAGAGAGCATTATGTAGCTTCTATGCAGCAAATCAAAGCTGATCCATTGGATGTTTGGATCGCTCTTCATATTTCCTAATTAGCTCCAATAGCAAAAAGTGAAAGTTCACTTAGATACGAAAGAAAGAGTAGGGAGCACTGAAATAAAACAATTGAAAACGAAAAAAGAAGACCAAAACCCACAAATACAAAACTATTTTGCAGAAACAATGCTCGAAAAGGAGAAGCAAGCGAGAGCAACAAACATAATAATAAATGAAATCCAAACACTCAGGTGTGAGAGAGAGCGAGACTGTCAAATTGTTCTTCAAGGGACCAAACAGGTCAGCAAACTCAATGCCAGTGCCAGATAGTAAAGAATGAATACTATTTTCAAGATAGCTATAATTATTGCAAGAACATTCAGAAAGTTATTAGATACTTAGCATGAGAAACTATAGGGAGCGACTAGGTCAGTAAACTCCAATACTAGTAGCAAATAGTAAAGGATGAGTATTAATAAACGAAATACGCGAAAACCATTTCTATTTATTTTCCCCTCAATTACAAAATCAGTTAATAAGGGGAATGCAGCATTATGAAAAAAGAAACATCTTGAGTCAGGGCTTAGATAATATAAGCTGGACAGAGTTAAAGCACTCTAGTTTGGCACCTGGAACCAACTTGGAGTAGTCTAATACTCTAATATGCATCGGGAGTTATTGATTGAAGAAGTTCATTAGGGTAACATTTGGACGACGGAATCTGGATATACAAAGAGGATTCCAAGTCATGAATCTTGTATTTAAGGGTATGAAACTCTTGGCAATTGAAATCCCTTTTTTGGATGTTGAAAATGATTTCATCATTTGAAACCTAGGAATTGAAAGGAATGGAACATAGTGGAAAGTTTTATTAATTGATGAAGCAGTTCCTAAATTTTTCTTTTCTAGGGAAAATGGTATAATATTTCACATATGATATGAGAAGTGGAGAATATAATAGAGAACTTTGTTTCGAGAAAAACGGAAAAGGAAAAGAAAGAAGACAGAGAGAGGAAGCAAATAACACCAAAACAACTGTTTTTTTTATATGGTAACTTTAAAACAACTGAACTTGTAAAAGCGCAAACAAGATAGGTCCTTGAGATGATTAAAATCAGAATAAAACCAATAGCAAAGCTACAAAACAAGAAAGAGCTTGAAGTTACTCCTAGCTAAAGAAGCATATGTATTGAAAAATCAAGGGCCCTAGACCATCCAATTTTCCATCTCCTTACTTCTGAGGTTTAGGCACTAAAGTTCAAGTTCAAGGCATCTGCAAAATTCCATTATTAGTACTTTGCCTGCTGAACTAAAGTAGATCAAACTAACTATCCAATTGGATGATCACTCGGTTCGCAGCAAGATCATATTTTTCCATACATTTTACAATAATTTTAATACTAAAACATTGTGATTTATATAGAAGTATTTTCTTATTAAGTTTCTGAATATGTAAATTTTGTATTGCAACAATTAAGGATGCCCAATGCAAGACTATATATGGTTTAACCCTCATCCTTCTTCTGGAGAAAAGAAAAAAAAACTTAGTACTTTGAACTTTTCATTTTCGAAACAGAGGGAATTAAAAAAAATGCTCAAATTCAGTTTCCAAATCAAAATTATACAGAGTGGTTGAAATGAATTCAGGAAATAAGTCATAAATTCAGTAAATGAACTAATCAAATGAATAAAAAATCCTCGTACAACAAATTGCTCTAGAGTTCTGACATCCTCTATCAGGTCAGACACACAAAAGATAAGAAAAAGAGATAAAACATAAAGGACGAAGAATCTACCGTCTGATACGGTTAGAAATTGCTTAGCCACAAACTAAAGAGAACTGCGGTGCGAAAAACGGAAAGTCCTTCAGTCGAGTTTACTGGATCCGGAACTTTAACAAGCCCAAGACTTTGTGGGCGAGTTCTGTTAGTATTTAAATTTATTTTTTGTATTAATAATATTAAGTTCAATAAATATGATTAATACAGTTTGTATTAATTATTAGCTGAAGTTGCCAAATATACTTTTTTTAAGGGCATTATTTATGTTTTGTTTCTGTTTTAAAAGGTTTTGCACATATTCCCTATTTTTTGCTTTCATAATCCGAAGATGGAAAACTTTATCCTACCGTTTTTTTTACAAACTTTAGAGCAATGGCCTTTAGGTTGGTCATAATATTTGTCTCTGGAGCTCAACTTCTCTTGCGCGTTGAGCCGGACCAATGCTTTCTTTCAGAGGCGGACCTATGTTATCAAGTGAGGGGTCACCGACACCCGAACAGTTCGGCAAATTTTTTTATGAATGCATATATATATATTTAGAAAATATTAATATATTAGCAATGGCACCCTGTATAAAAAGTAGGGCGGTTCAAAATCGAACCGTAATCGTTAACCGAACTGAACCGATAGCTTATTGACTAATTAGTATCGGGTTATCGGGGTAATGGTTGGTGAACAGATTGAGATTTTATAATTAAGAGCTTAATGATTTGAGAACGAATTACTCAATTTTCTTATCAAATAAACCGTTAACCCGTTAAATTTTTTTTATACTTTTGCTCCTATGTATATAAAGTACTATTGAAATCCTAAATGGCTACATCCCTAATTCTCACTCTCAATTGAATTCATTCCGCAACAGAGAGTGAGAAGTCGACCAATCATCTCTCATAAGTCCTGTGAGCACCTAATTTTTGACTATATTTGAAATTTTATCACCTTACAACAACAACAACAACCCAATATAATCTCACTAGTGGGGTCTGGGGAGGGTAGTATATACGCAGACCTTACCCCTACCATGAGGTAGAGAGGCTGTTTCCAATAGACCCTCGGCATCCTTCCCTCCAAGATCTCCCCACCTTGCTATTGGGGTGACTCGAACTCACAACCTCTTAGTTGGAAGTGGAGGTTGCTTACCATCAGAGCAACCCCTCTTGTCAATTTTATCACCTTCTACTATGTAAATATTTTCAGAATTTAATATATATAATTTTTAGCTTTGTTACACTTATACATATATATATATATATATATATATATATATATATATATA